AAATCTACAATCTTTATTTCATCTAAAATGCATATAATATGCATTATTACATGAAGTTATAACTTAAATTTCTTTTAAAAATATTTTAACTCACCTTATATAAGTTCCCTTTTTTTTAATCTTTTATTAATTTATCCTTTTTCTTTCATTAAATTATCCTTTTCAAAATTTCACTTCATTTTCATACTTCCAAGTGACTATGACCACACATTATTCTTGATTCAGCTTATCTTTTAAAACTTTTAAAAAAATGGAGAAATTTGGAGACACTATCGTTCTAAGAATTATAACAACATTACTGTTAAAACCTTATGGAATATTTTCCTCTTCCGCTTTAACTGTCTTCCACGCAGGTGAATTTCGCCCAAGCTCTCCCGTGTAATACAGTAAATTCTTTTATATGCAGCTCAGCTAAATACAGTAGAATATAACACTTTCTTCTAATTATTATTATTTTATTTTGTCAAACAGCATGTACTTACGAATGCAGTCAATAATTATAAATTCCTGAAAATGTAGGTCAAAACTTGCTGGATAAAGAGTAACATTTACCAAAGATTTAAAATAAGATTTTTTTTTTAAATAATTTTATTTGAAACATTTGAGAAATACTATATAAAAATTCAAAAATATAATCATTCAAAAAATATAAAGGAACACATTTTAAGTAAATACTGTCCAATATACTTTGTTTTTCCTTACTATCGTTCATGTGAACTATGATAGGTTTTTTCAATACTGTCATACTTTGTTTTTTAATCTTCCTCAAGATTAAAAAACTAAATTTCGTTTTTCTAACGAAATAGGATAGCTGGTAATGTGTTTTTGTAGTATAAATAAGTCTGTTTGCGAAAGCAAATTAAGAAATTATCTTAGAGATAAAAGATTGGATAACAGTTATAATAGTAGGTATAGAATAAACGGTCGCCACCGGTAACAGTAACGTTTTAATATAAATGGCAATTAAAAAATTGACAGCCAATCTCCAAACGATTTTTCATTAAAAATACACCTCATTTACATTTTTTTTCAATTAATATGGAATTATTATGAATATTATAATATTCTGAAGATTAGTTTATTTCAAGCGTGTTTTTTTTTTTAAATTTGACTTTAGGAATGAACTTTGCAATAATTGCCATATTTTGAGAAATGCTTTAAAAGAAAACAAATTACATTAAAAATAAGTATTTTTTTAATCGTTTGAATTTTAAATTTTGAAAAAGTGGCCAAATGCTACAACTGGCCACTGGCCAGTAACAAAATTGCCTGTAGTGAGTATATCTGCCGACTCATGAATTATAATGAAAAGGACAATGAAAAAGGTAGACAACCTAGTGGAGACGGGAATAATGCCAACAGGTGCTTGAAAGAAATTTCTCTTTCAAATATGGCAACACTCCAACGAAGACTATAAATAAACATTTAGAGACAATAAGATCAGAACATAAACATTAAGTGTACCAGTAACCTTTAAATTAGAAAGCTGTTTTATGGTTTATTATTAAATTCTCTATCGCTAATAATGCTAAGTAAATTGTTGTGCATAAGAATTCGATTAAATAATGGATTTTGAAGGAAAAAAATACATTAATAAAAACTTACTACTCATTTAAGAACCATTTTAAAAATATTATTTTATACCGAAACAATATAGGCTAATGGAAAATTCAGACTCTTTGCAAAAGTCACCAATTGGAAAAAAGAAAAAAAATCTTTAATGTTCTCAAATATGCCTGATAATTTTTAGGCTAATTATAATCGGCTTATATGCGTTAAGCTGATTAGGAAATGAACAAAGAATGACTGATTGAATTCGCCTAAGTTGCTTGCATTGCAATAAACCTTTAATATGGCGATTTACAATTAACGTTCTCTACTCAGTGATTTTTACTATCGTTCTGTGTTTTTAACGCCGACAATCACTTCATCGACAGATCAGATCACCGACACGATCACTGCGTCGACAACGCATTTAACCGACACGGTCATTTGACCGATATGATCCATTTAATAAAATTTTAGTCCAAATTTTAAAATTTTTTTAATTAGTTGCTTTTTTTATTTCTCCAAGAAACTTTTTGAAGTTTTGTTATAGTTAATGTGCATAATTTTGGGGCAATTATAAATATGCTCTTAAATATTTTACTCAAAATTTCGTTATTGCTGAGACTTTGGAAAGCAATTATTAAATATTACCACCATAGTGACTCAAAGCTTAAACTTTAACCTTTCATTGTATACATATTAAACTACAGCTGCAGTTTTTTGTTTAATCACAAATACTTTTACATAATTATTTTAAATGCATAATTAATTCAAAGGTGTTTATTAAAAAAATTATTGTTCTAACAGTTTTCGGGAGGTGCGTTTGAAAACACTTCCTTTCTGTGGCTCTACATTTTCATACTCGTATTATTTCGTTTTTCTTGACATTATCCGCCATTACAATTATATTTTCGTGAAAAATTTTCATGTGAAGCTTTAAACATTTTCGTATTAATTTTTAGATAAGGATATTTTGTAAATCAAAGATCAAATAAAGTTGACAAGTAATTAATTTCATACTTAGAATATTTCTACAGTGCTAATACTTTATTATTGCTTTTCCTAATCCCGGAAAAAATCAAACCTTCGAATAGTTAAAAATTTAATAACCTGTTTGTAATTAAAAATAATGCACTTTAAATCTCAAAAAAAAAAATTTAAATTTTCAATTAATAAAGTTTGTCAGGAGACAAACTTATTGCTCGGCGAAATGATCATGTTGGCGAAATGAGCTATCTAGGAATTAAAGTTCAGCAAAGTAGTGATATGAACCTTACCCTATTAAGAAATTATGAGTTTTCCAATCAGCCTGCCCGAAATAAACCTACTGACTGATTAAAAATTACTGGAGTTTTGCTGCAAAACACCAAATTATTCAATTAGCCTACAGGAAGCTGATCAGAATCAAAATTTCTAGAGGAAATTGAACCTTTCGGAAAATGGAAAATAAAATGTATAATTTCTAGAAGCCATTTTATAAAAGACTGTTATGAAATGGTATTTTTCTTTTATGTTAAGTTTCATTAAAATATTTGGAGCCAGCTACTGGCGACCACCAGCATGTGTAGATAGGCCCCTGATATAAGCGAATCATTCAATTTGTTTTGAGAAAACAGCACAGTTTCCTAAAACACATCGTTTTGAGCAAAACTTGTCATAAAATATGATAATCTTTGATAATAAGGATTTGATATCTTAATTTAATAAACCGACAACTGAAATCGGGAAAAAAAATGATAAAAAACAGAGAAAGAGAGATTAATCGATGATCGGTGATGAGTATAGTTGCTCTGGAGTAGATAAAGTTTAAAATGTTTATTTTGTGTTTGATGTGTCATAAGAGATAAACACTTAATGCGTTTATTAAGAGATAACCTTATGTCAAAAGGTTAGGAAAACCCATCTCTCTATTCAAGTGTAAACAAGATTATTTTTTTATATTAAGAGTAGAAAAAACCTTTTTAATTTCCAATACACAACCTAATCTTCGTGTTTCTTAATAAGAATTTTTTATGAATGAAAGCATCGTTCATACGTTCGCAAACTTGCAAACTTCTCTACCGGATTTTAAGCCGGAGATTTTACCCAAATATTTAAAATGGTATCGGCATTTCTGTTTCAATATTTATTTAAAATTATTTTGACCACCTCAGTATCTAAATTTTGAAAAGATATTCTTAAAACTTTGAAAGAGTAGGCAGTTTTGTACTTGCCGATATTTTAAGTGCTTTTACTTTAATTATTTAGTTACCCCTTTAAAAAAAAACTGAGGTGAGCTAGAACTTCCGGGTTATCGGGTTTGCTTTCTAACGACAAAAACGAGTGAGAGTCTCCTATTTCAAAGTTATATGATTGAATCCATTTTAACAAAATTCTATTCCAACTGATTGCAGACAAAAAATAAAATTCAAAATAAAAATATACAATAAGCGTTCCTCAAATAAAAAGACAAGAGAAAATAATTTTTTGGAAAGAAACATTCTATGATTTTTGAACTGGTCATGTTAATATGTTAATAAGAATAATGGTAATAAGAATAATGGTAATACGAATAACATTTTAATACATTTAAGTAGTTTTTTATATAATTCCTATTTTAAAAAAAAGATCAAGCCTTTGACTTCTTCCAAATCATTGCCATTTTTTAAAGCTATTATTTACAATTCTTTTGAATGAATTGAAATTTGAAAATATGTCAGCTAAATGCTTTATATGCACGTACGCAGAAATGCAAAGAACCGTTTTTAAGCCTAAAGTGAAATTAATTCTTTTACAAAAATTAAACAGGGTGAAATTTTTGTTTTTGTATTTACAATATCAAAATATCAGCTGCGTGCAGAAATATTTCGGTAAAAAAAAATCCGGTATCAGGTATGTATAGAATTAAATTAAAGAATTCGCATTTTAGAAATCAATAACTCCATTACTTAATGAGTCGACAGTTCTTACAGCAATAATTTTCATTCAAATATTTATACCGAAAACATTCCACGGAAAACATTCACCCTAGTTAGTTTGGAATGTTTTGCATTTTGAAAAAATAAATAGATATATACAGTTGCAAAAACGAGCATTTTAATTTTCGGAGAATCCTAAACGAATGAATAATTGTTCCGCTGTGTTGATTGCGTCGAGAGAAAGAATTCTTCCTGCAATATGTTACAATATAAAAATTCCAGACTTTGACACAACTGAGCATTCCAAGCATAGCTCGATTGTAATTCTTTTCAATTAAGGCTACATTTAAAGCAATTCTTTAATGATGAATGGAGACGGATAATCAACAATCTAATCAACGTCGAAATTAGATATCTCCGACATTCACTGAAAGAGAGTTGCATTTAAGAACTTTAAAAATAAAATAAAAAATACAGAAATTGCAAGATTAAAAATTTTGCACATGAATTCCAATCTTGTTAAAAAAAAAAAGAATTTATGTTTAAAATGCTTACCCTTTCTGGATTTGATCCAAGCCTCTTATACAAATCGTCAATTGGAATGATATGTTCGTCCTAAATAAGATTAAAGAAATATTTTTAAATAAAAAAAAAACTTCTACAGAATGTGTCATCACAATGTATAATATTAAAAGTACGACAGCATTACTGCTCTGTGTTGTTTGAATCATTCTGCAATTTTTGCTTTCACCCTATAATAAAGTCAAACATGCAAACGCATACTTGCATTAGATTTTTAACGGGTTTAGCCTTTATTCACATATTTTGATACACTGTAAAAGCTAATACCTATTCGAATTTGCTGATGAAAAACTAAAAATTGCGTAATTTCTAGTTAATATCGAAACAGCGTTTATTTATAATTTAAAGGGCATAATTAACTTGAAATTTAAATAAATGAGAAATCTTATACCAAGCTCAAGCGCCATCCCATTCAAGAATTATTTTCGCCAATGCTAGTGTTCTTTTAAAATCAGTCAAATGATCGATATTGTTAGTTCACAATCGAGCAGAGAAAGTGAAAGATTGACTTTACATCGTATTATGGTTAACATTTCACAGAAACAAGTACATTGTTATAAAAAGGCATGCATATTTTCAGCTGTTTAATAAAGATAATTCTCAGATGATTTACAAAAATAATTGCATTAAATAATTTTACAACATTTAATTTCAACCCGACTCTGTTTTGTTAAGCCTTGTTCGAATTCCTATTAATATTCTCTTGGTGCTGTGTGAATTCTTAAAACTAAATTTTAAGAAATATTGTATACATGTATCTTAAACTAATGATACTTGCTTCATATTGTTAACGTCTCTTATGTGTATATTTACTTGTTGTAAGTATAAATTTTAGTGCTAATAACAAAAATGATGGCGGCTACTGTACACTAAGTAGTACAAATGAACATTTTTGGTGTAAACAACTTGATCAAAGAGTTATGTATAGTATTTCACAACTACAGAACTTAGGTTTTATACTTCTAAAATGTATATTTGTATATAGATTGATTAATTGACAGGTATGCTCGCAAAATAGTACGTTTGAACATTCACAAAATAAATTGTTCTAAAGGTCACTGAACTTTTCCCACTTAATGATTCATATACCTTTTCGCATGCTGAACAACTGGATGTAATAAACAGCTGCATAACACTTTCTGCAGTTCATTCACCATTCATTCCATTATGATATATCAAACATTTTAACGTATAAGATTCACCCGCGCAGATTGTTATAATAATGTTCTGCTGACACACTGAAGACTAAACCGTCATATTTCAAAACATCTTAGTACAATTATTTTGGGGTGCAAGATGAATTTTTTCGAATGGCATTTTTTCCAAGTGGGACATTGCGACATGAATAACTTTGTGTTGTGAAACAGTTATTCACAGAAAAAGCTCCCACATGAATTCTGTATTACATTCAAGTTTCTTTTGTTCCATTTAAATGTACTTTTCTATTACAATTTATGTATAATTCCCGAAATTTCATTTTATAAATATGTGTCACATAAATTGTCCTATCCTAATTGTCGGCATTTCGCTTAAATTCCGCTAAGGATTAAGAACTTAATCTGTAGGCAAAGCTTGTGAACATTTGAGTAGAAATCTATATTCTCAATACCAAATATCATAAGTATTTTATTTCATAACAGTCGGTGAACAGCCGATCCAATTTCGGATTTACGACTACTAATGTTCAATTCCGAAGTCTTGTAATTTTGAGCCCAATTCAGAAGACAAAGGAGCTCCTGTAGCAAGTATTGGGTGAAATTTGCCTTTGTGGAGGACATTTTGATGTAACTAACCCGCATTTACGTTACACTGAGAGAAAAAACCGCGAAAACCTAGCCTGACTAACCCATGATCCATCTACCACTGAGGATATTTTACGTCAGCACTGTGGTCGGTGTGAGCCGGGTGCGGAATTCATATCGACCAGCCATCGCTGGGATTCGAATCCGGTCCACCTCTATTCTACCACGACTCATTTAAGTATTAAGGGCAAACAATACTTACCATAGAAACCTCCTGTTTGAGGTCATCCAGGTCGGCCTTTCCCCCTTTCTTTCCCGCCTTCGCCTTCCCATCCTGAGCCATCTTCTCGCTCCTCCTGCTCTAGTGGTTGCCTAGAATAGAAATTATCACATTAACATTCACCCTATTTTACCCGTAAATCTGCCAACAACAATTCAACAGTAATGGATTATCCAATGTTAATTCAAAAAATACCCATTATGGGTCTCATGAGTACTATCACCTTTTAACTGTGATTCTTTGTTGCATAACTCAATCACAAAAATAAAGGTCAAAGTTGAGATTTGAAATTTCTGTACTAATAGAAAACATTTAAATTTTCCTCCAAAAACATGTCGAAAGTTGAACGTATTTAAATCAATTTTTAACGTAAGAAACTTTGATTTATTTTATTTTTAAAAAATTCTCTTTAAAACCCAAAGTATTATTTTTATTTTTTTTTAAGATTGAAAAACTTTTTTTTCTTCTTTTCCTTGGACTATAGCTGTTGTTGGGTCTTTTGAAATCTTTGCAAAACAAGCACTTTTGAGAGCGGGTTATTAAATGAGTGAGATTTACCTGAAATAACACAAATGGAACAGACAATGGTTTGTCGACAGATTTCATTCACAATAAAATGAAATGAAATAAAAACAATTTCACTGTCTACTGTCTAGGTAATGACTGTAGTTAAAATATTTTTTTTTTAACCTTGAAAATAAAAAAAAATATAGTCAAACCATTTTGCAACGTATTCAGTTATATTTCTTAAGAATCGACTTTTAAGCAAACCAGTGTTTCATGCATTTTTCAATTTTCCGGGAAATCAAATGTCTAAAAAGTCACCGGTTACCTATAATAACGCGCGAAGACGACTCTTTCAACACTTTTCACAAGGTCTCGAGTCGAGGAAGAAAAAAAATTTGCCGACCAGCAGCAACTTGTGTGAAAAGTATTAGTTTAATTTTAGTGAGTGACTTGTTTCTCTTGTTATAATCTTTTATAAGATTGCGTTCAGGCCGACTGCCAAATGAAAGAAGATGGAGGAAAAAAGAAGATAGAATAAAAACCACGTAAGAATAGGTTGGAAGAGCAAATATTCTTTGGGAAGAGTTCGGTAATTTTTGTACAGCATTGTTAGATTTTTTTTCCCTTTCATGTCTCAAACAATACAATCATTTTTACTTTAACAGTTTGTAAGTATTTTTAAATACAGGGTACTAAGTCAAAATGAATGCCCCGATTTCATAAGAGCAACATGTTACAAATGATATTCGTTGATATTATTACATTTATTCCATATTTTAACACCTGCTGAGGATAGATTGGGACAAACATCAGTATTCGGAGTACTGGTTAAATGCACACTGGTCTGTCGCATTTGACCTTAAAAAAACATTGATGTAGAGCATACCGAGCAAATGTATACCTGGAAGTAGCACTTAACTAGACCTAGTATATATTTCGGACATTTACCAAAGCGACTATGTGATTGTCAACTTTCACCGGTGGAAGTCAACAACTACCAACTTTGGTATGAATGTACAGGGTTATTCATAATTCCCTCCGCCTGTAAACGCCATTTTTCTTTACTACAACTGGCTTTAGTGGTACATGTTACTGCCATCTACCGGCAACTGCTTAAATTAAAACTTGAATACTTTCGGAATAATTTCATATGTTCTTTTTTGCCATATTCGTCTTCGTTTTTTTACTATAACGCTTCGAAACCCCGGAGGGAATTATGAATAGCCCTGTATATCTATACCGTCGGACTTCTATTTAACGAACTTCCATTTGGCGAATTTCTCTATTTTGCCATTTTTTTTCGAGGAATCAGGAACATTATGGAAATTTCTTCGTAAGATGACTTTCAAATAGCGAAGTTGATTTTCTATTTAGCAAACTTTTCTTTGAGATCCGCTTTCCCTATTTCCTAAAATATTTCAGAACATTTCATACTTGTTAACGCATTTTATGGGAGAAATTGATTTTAAACAGTAAAATCCCTCTCCCTTTTTGTTTGTATTTCAAACGAAAAACTCAAACCAAAATTAACGTATTTTAACAGTAGCAATTAGGAGCGCATGTGGTAATATATGCTTGAAATTACTTTTGTAATAAATGCAGCTATAACTTTATACATAAATTTAGCTTTTTTTTAGATGAAAATGTATGTAGCATGATAGTGTAACACCGAATAATGTTTTTCTCAATTCTTGCTTTCCATGCAGATTTCCTTTATGCTTAAGTTTTATAAAATAAATAGTGGATACTAGTTTTAAAGATAAAGGTGTATCAATTGCTATTTTAATTACATCTCGTATTTATGAATTTAAAACCAGTTTTGTGTTGCTTAAATATTTCAAAAGGTGATTTCTATTTAACGAATTTTTCATGTAACGAACTCATTATCTGGATTTAGCGACTTCGTTAAATAGAGGTCTGACTGTGTGTGTGTGTAGATATATAAGCCACGGTATTATAAACAATGCACTCCTCATAAATACTCTTCGTTAAACGACTACGACGAAATACATATCAAGTGTGAAATATTATTCTTGCAGAACTTTATGCAGCTGGGGCTTGTATCGATTCTGGCGATAGCGACTGTGATATCCAGACTGTCAAATCCGTCATGGTCGTTGGACCTGGAAGCAGATAGACGCGAATTTTTACGAATCTTCACAGAAAAAAAATGGCATTGGGTGAAATATGGAGATCGTGATGGTCAAAACAAGAGTGCATTGCCTGCGGTAGATATGCGATTAATCCAGAATTGTTGTGGCAACATTTTATCTGTGGTGGCTTCGCACGTTGATGACTATCTGGCTTCCATTACCCTTTGTGGGTGATTATTCAAAACTTTATTACATTACCTCTGCATGTATGTGCGAATTAAGTGAATTTGATTAATGTTGCCTTAAAACACAAATGCGGCATTTATTTTGACTTACACTGTATATAATTTTTTATTGGGCAGCAGATGCGGTTTTGCTATTATTTATTGTTGATTTGTGTTCATCAAAATGGGAAGGGATCATTCTGAAGTTAATGAAACAAAATAGAAAAATGGAGAGAAACATAAAATTTTTGGATAGACATTTAAGTTTAACTAATGATGTCCACGTGTGACGATTTGAGTCAATAAAAGTAAAATAAGTTGTAAAAGTAAGGAAAGTGAAGTTGAAGCGGCATCACTATCTTGTTACTTTATCTTAAAGATTACAAAAGGAAGATTTTTCTGTGTACAAACAATGACTGGATTGTTTACTGAGACGTCTAAAAATTGCTCGAAAGGAGGGTCTGAAATGAGAAACATGCTGAAGATAAAAGTGAATGAGAAAGTTTGAAGATTCTTTTCTTTGTTAAACATCTATTTTAAAAGCTCGAAAGGTATCCAAACTGTTTTAGATGAAAAATATAGACACATATTTTCATTTCAAGCAATCTTTTATTATATTCGATAAAATTTTAAATTTTGAAATTAAGAAAACTAATTGGGAAATCGTAACTGAAAGTTAAATAAGAAGCATTTTTATGGATTAAGAACATCATGTCATTTCATTTTGCGGGAATAAACAACGTAAAGTGGGAAAGCAGAATTATAGAAATGTTTTTAAAAACATTTTTCAATTTTGATATCAAAAAGTGTTTTTCTATCAACGAAAAAATTTCCCTACAAAAGGAGAAAATGTATATCAGCACATTTATGATAAAAAAACAAGAGAAAACTCTTGAAAAACAATTCATATCTAGCTAATTAAATCAAAGTGCATGCGGACGTCCACAAAAGTTTTTATAGACTTCCATTCAAAAATTAAAAAAAATTATAAATATCGCAATAGTTTTTATAAAATTTTTAAAAAAAGTTTCAAATTGGTGTAGACCTACCTCACATGTTCCGATGAAAGAGGTACCATTCTTTTATTTTTTATTTCAAGAAGGTTTAAGAAAAATTGGATTCCATTTGATTAATCAAAAAAATTTTTACTTACAACTGAAACTGCATTAAAAGTAAACACAAAGGCAACATTTGGAGTCAATATTTTTCATACAAAGAATAAAAATAAAAATTCATAAGTAATAAAAAAAAGTTTCATGTAAACTCAAGAAGAATATTGTACCACCACATATTTTAAGAATATTGCACCCATTAGTTTGTCAAGGCAATACCAGTTTCTATATTTTCAGGAAAAATAAAAGGTGCATGCAATATAAAAATAAAACAATATTTGTCTTTAGTACTTGGAGGCAATGTTCTTTAATTGAAATAACTATGTTCTATACCATATGTTCATAAATATAATTCTTCTGGAATTTCAAAACTAATTTCGCTTATTATTCGGTTTCCAGAAAGTATATCTATTGTAATAATAAAAGATTCATTCATAGATTTAACATTAAAAAAATATGTATATTGTAAACATTTAAAATTGTAATTTTAACAAATATTCTAAGCATCATGATTTTTTTAAAAAAGGGTGGAGAAATGGTGAACAAAAATGTGTAGCCCTATCGATAAAGGAAAAAAAATACAATAACAACTCGGTAAAAAAAATCTTCAAATGCCAAAAGATTTCAAATATTAAATATGTATTTTGAAATCATTTAAATTATTTTATTAAAAAGGAAGAAAAAAATCGAGGCATCGGATATCCTATTGCAACTTTAAAACAGTTTCCATATTAGTTGTAGTATCAATCTATAAGAAAAAAAAACTTTTTTGTTGTTGAAAGAAGTTAAGCAAAATACTTGTGTGAAGTTTGTGGAATGCACCGGAATTAAGTTCTGCGGCGGCCATTAAGATTCATTATTGTGTTGTTGAAGTATATCTCCATCACAAGAAGAATTTGGAAGAATTTTATCCAAAACCAATCAAGTGGGAAAGCTCAAAAAAAGATAAAAATTTACGGCCGGCAATTTCTCCCTTTGCAGATCGATGAAGTCTGCTGCAGACTTCTTGCGCGATTCTTTCTTTTTATTTCAGTGTCATCAATTGCCAGTTTAAAAAAAAATTTCTCTTTTAAAAAATTTGCTTACTAAATTAAAAAAGAGTAAAAGCTATTGCATACATTCTGATGGAGTAAAAAAAATGTCTTAACTAATCTGT